TCATGAAGGAAGTTTTGCATAGTGCATATAGATGAAGCAGATGCATACCAACTTACACAAATGCTTCTCTGTAAAAACAAATGTGCAACATATGTGATCAGACTCCTTTTTTGTCTTAATTCTCAATTCATCATCTTGATACATTCTGTAATTGATAACCATATCAACAGAAGATATTAAAAAAGGGGCCAATGAGCTTAAAAAATAGTAAACCAGGTGCTTTACACTTGACACTTGACAAGGGGTGAGAAGGGCAGGCTATACAAAAGCTTTAATGATATCAGTGTTCCAATAATCCCTGTGTAAACAGTGGTACTTGTACTGACTGAGTGAACAGTTATGTTTGTGCTTGTCATCCTGGATTCGAAGGACTCCGTTGTGAAACAATTAAGAACCAAGAGACTGTGATTTGTCTATAATGGTGACCTCGACAGTATTCCTTCTGAAGTTTTTCTCACTACATCTATCCATTACTGGTAACCCCACAATGCAGTGGATAAATAAGTGATCAAATGAATAAACAAGTGAATCACTCATTAGTAATATTAGAATTTTCCTGCTTCACCAAATGCTTAGAAACATGATTACTTTAGAGTAAAATTAATTTAACCTTTGTTAAGACTTATTTCCTCTGGTCTAAATTTTTGGGAGCACATTCAAGTACAAATAATTAATTTTTGTAGAAGGCAGACAACCTGGCAAATCTAAGGTTAGAGAAGGTGGTGAACTACAGATTAGCAGCAGGTCATGCAACCATGTAAACTATAGGACCACACTGCTTAATTACTTATTACTGTGAAACTAAGAAAGCTACAAACACTTTGACTTGATTCTCACAGGACAGTTGTCTGTAGTTCAACACAAAATTCAGGAGTGTGCAAACTCCCAACTGCTGCTGTTTAGTTGTCTTGAATTGCAAGGACATTACATGAGTACATGTATTTCTGGAATTCACAGTTTCTGGGTGTCACAGTAACAGTATGGACAAAATACTTTTGTTCCCTGAGAATAACAAGAAGTAGTCATTTGTAAAAGTTTATCAGCATTCTGATTTTTTTCCGAAGATGAAAAGCTGCACAAATGCGAGTCCATAGTCATGTGTAGGAAGTAAAGCACAATTCATAGAAATAAACGGGCTATTGATTTTCTTTGAAACCATGCATGGTATGCCACAGTTTCATTAGGAAAAGCATTGCATAACGGCCTAAAGGCATTGCATGACAAAGGGAAAAGATCTGAACTTCCATGATGATGATGATAGATAGTTTATTTAAATATACCTAGCAGCCTTGCGGCTGAATTGCGTATATTACAATAATGTAATTAAATAAATATATTATATAACGTATACAAGAATATTCAAAATTATAACAATTAAAAAATCTATGAGCTAAAACCTATCTATATTTAAAAGCTATATTTACATTATCTACATAGGTTTCTAGGAAACGGTCGTTAAATTAACTGTTGTTGTTATATTTAATGGTGGAGGCCATCATGAAGGTGTTTTTAAAACGGTTTGTCCTCCACCGGGGGATTTCGAAACGCCTGTTACGTCTTAAATTGTGCTTTGGATGGTTGGCACAAGGCAACAATTCACGAAGCCCGTGATTATCTTTTCCGATAATGTTGCTAAAGAGATTGCGGCAAATGTCTTCCATATAAGCCATGATCGGTGGAATGCCGGCAGCCTCTAAAATCTCGTGATAGTCTTGGCCTGAGCTTATAATAGAGAAAGCTCTTTTTTGAACGCGCTCTAACTCCTGCTGCAAATATA